GGGGGGGGGGGGGGGGGAAGATTGCCTCAAGTTTGAGCCCAGCCTAGGGTACAGAGTAAAGCATCTGGTTTTGGGTTTTGTGTGTTTGTTTTAAGGTAGGATGAAGGGGGCAGGAGAACAAGCCTGCAGCTTGGTCATTCTCCTTCTCGGGAAAGAATTGAACAGAATTCAGAGACAATGGCCAGGAATACGTTAGGGGCGACAGGGAAGAGGTTTCTGAGAGCCACAGACCAATCCAAGGCTGGAGACACAGTGTTGAGCTTCAGCGTTGGTGGCAGGATAGCTGGAGCTAGGGAAGGCAGGAAGCTTAGTCTGGGTTAACCACTGTTGTGACGAAACACCATGACCAAAGCAACTTCGGAAGGAAGATTTATTTGGCTTACACTTCCACACAATTCAACATCAAAGGAAGCCAGGACAGGAACTTAAACAGAGCAGGGACCTGGAGGCAGGAGCTGATGCAGAAATCAGGGAGGGGTGCTGCTTACTGGCTTGCTCAGCTCCCTTTCTTATAGAACCCAGGACCACCAAGGCCCAGGGTAGCTTCACCCACAATGGGCTGGGCCTCCCATGCGTCCCTAATTAAGAAAATGCCCTACAGGCTTGCCTACAGTCTATCTTAAGGAGACATTTTCTTAACTGAGGCTCCTCCCTCACTGATGACTAACTTGTGTCAAGTTGACATAAAACTAGCCAGCACAGCAGGGGATGTTGGGAACCTTACAGAGCATCTGGAAAATAGTTCGTAGGCTGCTCCTCTGGCTCATGCCGTGGCAGCTTGTCTATGTCTGTTAGAGTCCCAATACCCCGGAGGAAAGGAATACACACATGCTTTAGCCTATTCTCCAGTCTGCAACTCCAAAGCTGGGAATGGGGGTACATGCCTGCGACCCAGTACTTGGGAACCTGACTCAGGGGGATCAGGAACTACAGGCCAGTCTGAGCTACATGCTGAGACCATGTTACAAAACAAACGTGTTAACGTCTCCACTGTTTGGCACTGGATGGATGAAATCAATGTACAGATGAAGGTATGAGTGAGTCTATCACAGTTCCACTTTCAAAATATTCCCAGAGGCTCCTTCTGGCCACCTCAGCTCTGTGGTCCACACTTCCAAGCTCTGGCCTGGATTATTAATCACCTCCACCTGGCTTCCTGCTTCAGGTTATTCTCAGCCCAGCAGCTGACATGTCTGCTGAAATCCAAAAGGCGCTGCCCTGGCTTCCCATCTTCCTCAGATGAAAAGGTTCCAAATCCTGCCAGATAGAGTGGCAGTGTTGGAGTCTCAGCTACTTGGGAGGCTGAGAGGCAGGAGGCTATTTTCTGCCAGGGGCTGGACACCAGCTTAAGCAACACAAGAGACATAATTTCTTGAGGGGAGGGGAAGTGTGGAGAGACCTTCAGACAGCAGCAGGACTCTTACCCAGTGTCACACAAAGAACCTGCAACACACGCGTGCTCAAACGCACTAAAAGTTCAAATCCCTCGAATTGCCGAGGACCCAAAGGATCTGTCCACCTCATAACCAGCTTAGTTACTCCTCCAGATGTGGAGATGGATGCCTACACTCACCCTCATCCTCACTTTTCTCCATGAGCCATATAATCCACTGATGCTCTAACTGAAGCTCTAAGTTCTGTCTTTCCCCATAAAAGGGTACCCTGAGTATGGGGGTGTTATTTGTCTAGATCAGATACCTAGAAAACTCCCTGGAGGGCTGGAGCAATGGCTCAGTAGATAAAACATTTGTGTAAGTGGACCGAAGTTTGGGTCCCCAGAACCCATGTAACTTCCAGGCAAGCTTGGCAGCTTGGAAGGTGGAGTCAGAGTACCATGAAGAAATGCTGGATAGCTCAACTAGCCCAGCAACAAGGTAGCGTGATCAATGAAGACTCCGGATATCAACACATGGGGAAACAGACAGATATACATGAATGCATACCGCACATATATTTAAAAAAGAAAAGAGAAAACTGCCTGTACATTGTAGGCAATCAATAAATATCTTTAAGTTAAAGAAACAATAAGGAACTGAATGGCAAAGAGATCGAATGTCCAGGAAATGGTCTAGCCTCCAGAGACAAACAGAGTAGCTAGATGAACTTATCTAATGCTTCCCAATTATTCTGAATTCCAAGGGTACATTTCGTCTTACTCTCAAGTGAGCTTTTTCTGTACCTAAGCAATGGGAATTCTGTGGAGCCAAAGGCACTTAAAACACACAAGACTCTCTTTGGGAAAAGAATGAGAAGACGGAGAACATAAACCCAAAACTAGATTTGAAAACTCTTGGCTAGGGGCGTGGCTTGGCGGTAGAGCACTTGCCCTGCATGCGTAGGCCTAAATTCTGTCATTCACACTGAGAAAAACACTGAGCTCCTGGACAGTGAGGGACAGTTGCTATTGTAGTGGTGGCAATGGCTTCATAGGTGGCCACTTCTGCCAAAACCTAACCACCATGTCGGCCTTAGGTATGTGTCACTGACCCTCCAAGAAGCTGCCTTAAAGATTGAGTTTAGGGGCCACTGAGACGCCATGCAAGAAAGCCTGATGACCTGAGTTTAACTCCTAGAACCCATGGTGGAAGTAGAGAAACAAATCTCAAGACTTGTTTTCTGGGCCGGGAGATGGTGGCCCATGCCTTTAAACCCAGCCTCGGGAGGCAAAGGCAAGCAGATCAAGGCCAGCCTGGTCTACAGAGTAAATTTCAGGACGGCCAAGGCTACATAGTGAAACCTTGTCTCAAAAAAACAAACAAAATCGTTCCCTGGCGTCTACAAGCGCCATACTGTTCTTCTTAAATTAAAAGTATTCTTCTTTGGGGGCCTCTCCTCACCTTGGGAGTTCTTTACCTAATTTTTTCTAAATAAATTTGCTTGCCAAAAATGTTAAAACAACAATAACAAAACGGAAGTTAAAAAATTTAGGAGCTAGGCGTGGTC